TTAATCACGCTTCCCTTGGAATGGCCCTTGCCTGCTGCCTGCTTTCTCTCATGCAAATATGGACTGCATAGGTCGCATTTACCTCATATCGGATCATTTGCTCTCCCAACAAAAGCAACCTGCGATGTCGAAAATACTTTCAGCTGGAAAATCACCGCCCACACGACCATGGGAAAGTAATCAGTATACCTAAACGAAAGGATTGGGACTTTAAGATCTAGATGGAATAATCAAGCGTAAATTTCGTGTTTAAGACACTGGAAGTAACCGGATCACCACAAAGATACCTGCTTCGAGGCTTATTATGGGCCAATAGACTTGACAACATTCCTGGGATAGTTGTGCCGTATTTGCATTAAAGCCCTGAAGTTCGTTTTATGCAGATGGCCTTACGATTGCACACAAGGGTACGAATACTAGCTCCTCTTCGTATAAAGAACTTAAAGAATACTGCTTGTCCCTAAAAGCCACTACGGTACACCCCCCTAAAAAAACTACTTAAGGACCCTATAATGGAAGGGCTATGTAGTTGACTTCACATATATGCATGGAAATGTACATAAAGTCCGAATAAATCAAAAAAGAATGGGGACTTCTCTCTTCTCCAAATTTGATAGCGTAGCAATCTCTCTTTTTATATCTGCTCGTGCCCCTCCTTTCTTTCCCCGTTTGCAGAAACAGCTGCAAGTCGATATTTGATGTTCAAATTCAGTCTGAACGTGATTACTTTATGGGAATAACACCTGCTTATTGAAGCCAATATTTATTGGACTGCTCCCACTCTTTCGCAAATTCTGGACCATCTTCAAGATTAACTCACCTACTGGTCACGATTCTTCTTGCGGCGAACCGTCTGACCATTCCCAATAGTATTAGTGGCAGAGACATTCTGAACGGATCATTAAACCAGAGACCAATTAACATATTGGCTCAGGAGGTCACTTACCTGCAATGGCTCCACACTACATATTTTCTGGTACTCTGCACCAAAAGACCTTTTCATATGAAACTTACTATGCATCAAATACACTTCTCGAACGATGCCGCCCAAGCTAATACAAAAGATGCCCGGAGTCTATGGACTATTGACTGTTTCAACATCTGTTTTCATCCAATACAACAAGTATTCCCAGCAGAACTAATCTATATTACCTTTAAACTTAACATGGTGTCCTGGATATGCATTGATATAGCCATACGTGTTGGTTATATAACTATGGACACTTTATTGATACTCCAGATTGGATAAATGGGTCCTTTGTGGTTAGCAAACTAAAAACTGAAGATCATTCTAAGCAACAAACTGTTATATTGCTAACCAGCAATCTATGCGAACGGACTGTCAACGTCCGTTGGTTATAACACAAACTTTGAACACTGCGCGCTTTTGATATTGATAATGGAACCTATCTATGTGATGGGAGATGGCAATCCATATCCGTCTCATGAATTTCAGCAAACTTCAATAAGATTATGCACAATAATGATATGTAAATTATTTAATACTAGATACTTTCAAAAGTTTTGAATTTGACGGTGCTTGTTAACTGGTATCCCTCATGTTAAACCTGTTAAATGAAGGCGACATTTACTATTATCTAAACTTTAACACTCCACGTACGCCGTAAAGTAATATTTCCTTGTTGATTTCATAACTAGCAGGACCTTCGGCAGTTTTTAATTGAGTTTAATGACATCCCGTCCGTACCACTCAGGGCTCAAGTCTTGTGGATATTTTGAGATGTGTCAAGGTGATGAAGCCTGTAAACTGGCTTCTCTCATGTTAAAATCTTTTTCTAACGTGAGAATAAAACATCTATCTATTTATTGCCGTACTATGTCACAAATGGGTACATTGTCACTGTGACGGTACCTAAATTCCATGGAGAGTCAGCCATGCAAATGGTCCCGGCACGTCTGTCCAGAATATACAACTCTATCCACACTCTATACGAAGGGCTTTGCTGATCTACTCGCCACTAAACAAAGCTCATTAACCTCCCAGGACAAATTAGGGTCAGCACCAAGCCATCCATACACAAAGCTAGGTACGTAGCTATGCGACAGCTGCTGCGCACGAAGAACCACTCAAGGCCTGACTTCCGTACTCCCAACCTGGGCACAGAGAACGTCGAGCACATAGAGAAAGATGCCACCAGCCAGGAGCTCGGCGAAACGCAGCCTCAAAATCCTAGACACTACGACAGAAGAACAACCATTAAAGCTTAAAAATAAACCCCCAGGCAATCGGATATGTTACCTACTAAGAACTCGGAAGATAGACGGGTCAGCTCGATCATCCTGTTCAACATCTACGTAATGACTAACTCATTGCCGGTAGAGAGAGACCTGCTTCACGGTCAAATTCGGGCCACCTATCGTCAGACACTGGAATCACCTCCTCTCCTTGCGAAGCTGTGTTGCCTTTCTCGAGGTATCCGGGCACCCTGAGACAAGCCATCACGCTTATCAGCACTTTTGAACCTCGCGAAAGAAGCCAGAGATGCACTTCTTCTCTCTCCCTAAACATAAATCGTCAACACATGCAAAACCCGGGTCAGGCTTGACAGACCGTGGTCAGTGAGGAGGCATAGGGAGAAACCTTGGGTCGGAAATCCGAACAGGAGCATCACTATGGTTGCACATGAGATCCTAGAACTGCCAGTTGGTCGCTCTGCTAAGGATCAGCACATCCGCTACAATGGCCTTGAAATAAGTTTGACCTCAACAGTATAATGGTCCACAGAGTCGGTGGTATGCTAAGATCAACATATCTCAAGTTCAATCCCACTCCTAGACTACCCTCCATCCAATTTGACCTACATGCCTCCCTTACAGACGTTATGTACTCACCGTGTAGCACGCGGTTGACCTGTTATGCATGTGAGGGCAAGCCAAGACCCATCAAGCAAGGGGGGAGATGGCAATCGGCCCAGCCGCTGGAGTCAGTTGTTGTCACGCAGGCGCAAGTCAGTAAGTTAGGCGCACTGAGTATTAAAGCTCCTTCCACCTCAGTTTTTACACAAGCTGAAAGTGAAGCGCCACAAAGCGGGGCGGCACCAGTCCTTTGAGGACTAAGAGCAGCAATCCTAAAGAGCTGCTTGGAGACACTCGCAAAACCAACCATAACCTCAGCAAGGACTCGTAGAATCATTCCGATACCATAGAGAATGGGAGTCTACGATCGAGTCGCTCATCTTTAAGGGAGACGACAGGAAGTTTGATGGCAACAACAGATAGATTGGTGTAACCCTATTACCATCCAAAGCATTAGAAAGACTAATAGCCAACGAGATCTGGGAATTTTTTAACAGGGAAAAAGCCATCTGCACTGGTCAGCGTAGTTTTCGAGTGGTCGTTAATGTACCACCAACCTACTGATTGCCTAAGATAACTGGACCTTAAACTGGGACAAGAGGAAGCAAGTACTTGTTATTTTTTATGCAGCTAAAGCACTTGACAGTGTTCCATCCACAACACTGCTTCCCAGGATCTCATCAGCAGGCATAAGTGAACCTCCGATTTTTTGGTTCAGAGTGTCACCAAAGGGGGATGATTCCGCACCAAAGCAAACTAAATATGGTCAGAGTGGAGACCACCAACTTAAAGTGAGGTTCCAAGAAGCAATCCTTCGACCACTCCTTCTCCTCCCATTCGTTAACTGTCTGGGACACGAAATCTCCTCCCCCATCCTCCTCTTTGGCGACAATGAAGATTGGAGACCGGCTCCACATCACTCTAGAACGACCTTCGGCTACTAGAACTCTGGCTGCCGGAAAACGGTTTGAGCTTCAACCTTCAAAAACACAAAGCAACGCACATCAGAACTCATGAAACAAGGACCACCGAATTCCAATGGAAGTCGAGCAGCTGTTCTATCGCCAAAGCATGCACGGAAAAAGATTCGGTGGTGAACCTCTCTGGCGCTCTGAGAGCCAGCTCTAGCTGAAAAGAGATGGCAGCCAGAGTGAACGCCACCTTGCACTTTCTGCTCTGACAGCTCGGTGCCAAATGCCCTGAAATGCTTCCTGCGGTTTTCGAATCATATGTGCGGCCGCACTACGAGTTCTTCCACAAGGTAGCATCCCCAATACTCAAAAGAAACTGCAATCTACCTGGGAAAGTACAAAGAGCTGTGACACAACCGGTGGTGGGATCAAGAAACAGGTTACACTCTGACAGAGTGAGACACCTTGGCATATTCTCTTTGGGCTATTACAGAAAGAGAGGTGACCTTATTGTTGTCTACAAGATTATCCATTGGGCAAGTCGTACAAACAAACTGGCCTTAACTACAACATGGGAGTCATCACGAAAGAACTTTGATAGGAAAGTGCTTCAGACAGCTGATGCCACGCTTAGGTCAAACTTCTCTCTGTAAGAGTTTGCACTTTATGGAATGCCTTACCTAGGGATGCAATCACAGCCTCCTCACAGACTCATTCACGAGATGGTTAGATAGTTATGCTGATTCATATGGCTAATCAGAGATGTACTCATAACACTGTTGATCTTACTAGCCTACCACTGTTCCCTCTCTATTTATCACTCACCACCACTCTTTTTAATGAACTTGCTTTATCTACTAACTCTTTTCTAGTAACCATATCCATACTACCTGCTTATACCTTTCAGGTAACTCCCATATATGTTTCCTCACTATCTTGCTATTCCCTTGCAGATATCCATGATGACAGGAGTCACGAAAGACTACAAATCGTCCCAGCAACCTCCCTGTTAACTCAATTTACAATTTACACTTACCAACCCACAAAAGCACTTATTTCACCGAAATTGAAGCAGAGAAGTAGAATAGATTTCTTTTTACAGTACAGAAGCAGACATAACGACAAGAATCAGCACCCAAGTACTGAACATGAGAAACCAGAGGCGATCAGTTTCCTACGTTCGCACTATTAGTGTTAGAACCCGCTCATTTTGAGGAGGACGTTACCACAGCTGTTCCGAAGGCGTTTTGAGGTCACGTCCTGCTTCAAATAATGGCATGCTTCAGTGAAAGCGATGTATATAAATCACTGAAAGATGTCTTCAGACTAAACTCATTCAAGTCAAAACTTCAAGAACAGGCTACACTTTCCGTTTTTAAGGGTATAAGAATTTGATTTGAATTCATTCCCTAGGAAAAAATGATGTGTTTATATCAATGCCGACAGGTTCAGGAAAATCACTATGTTTTCAGCTACCTGCGGTTTTGCATCCTGGTGTGGCGCTTATCGTTTCTCCTCTGCTTGCTCTCATTAGTGATCAAATAGAACACCTTAAAAAGCTACATATTCAGGCAGAAACAATTAATTCGAGAACTGCAGATACACAGAGACGTAAGCTGTTCCACCACCTCACCAGTGTTCCTCGTGACTCAAACAAATACCTCAAGTTGTTGTACATAACTCCCGAGCAACTTCAAACACCCTTCTCTTCTTCCCTCGTCAGCCAATTATACGAGAACTCATGCATAAGTTACTTTGTTGTTGATGAGGCACATTGTGTGTCAGAATGGGGTCACGATTTTCGGCCTGCTTACCTCGCCCTAGGCAAGGTGCGTCGTAAGTTATTCCCAGGAGTGCCTTGTATAGCACTTACTGCCACTGCCACACCTCGAGTTCGGGATGATATCATTAAAAACTTGGGACTGGGAGAGTTTTCACGTTACTCCTCCATTCACTCTCTTGGGTTTGTTGGCGATTTGGAAGAATTCAGATGCAACGTTTTTCGGCCAAACCTTTACTACGATGTTGTATTTGGTGATTTAGTTGATGACGTATATGCAGATGTTTTGCAGTTCGCTGCTGAATGCATCGGTTGGGATAAGACTAAAACGACAGACTGGGTAAGTCTTTAGTTTTAACCCCAGTAATCATCTATACAGACAAAAATAGGATGTGGCATAGTTTACTGTCGAACTCGTACTGATTGTGAGTCGTTGGCCGAAAAGCTTACAACTTTAGGACTGTCATCACGCGCTTATCATGCAGGATTGTCCAAATCTGACAGGGAAGGTGTTCAAATGGGATGGTCTTCTGGGTCGTTTCCCATTGTTGTTGCTACCATAAGTTTCGGGATGGGTGTAGACAAGGCTAACGTAAGGTCAGTTTAAAGATAATATTCGAATGAAATTTTTTAACGCTAGTGCTTAGTTGTCGGTCTTTCTGTTTTGTACATTGTTTAAAAACGTAAAAGTCCTGATATGCTTCTAACTTCAGTGACTGGTCGAAGTTTGTGTGGATAAGTATAAATGGTTATTCAAAGTTTTGCCTTCTTTACGGATATATTTTACAAGGCGATAAAATTATCTTGCATACACATATCTCACAGCGAAAAGTCTGATTAAATTTAGTTGTCTTCAGTTTGCTGTTCAGCTTCTGAAGTGAAAATACCTTACATAAATTTTTTTGGAAATTTACTGCAGACTGGCTAGAGCTGACAAGTCGTTAGGTATCATTAAATTCATTCTCTGGGCATTGTGACTTAAATTAGCTCACACCGATATGTTCGTCTTTTTCATCACAATGTGAAACAATTTCTTCACCCACTTGGCTGTCGTGTTTTCATTCACAACCTCCTCAGTCCCTTCAGTATCCTGCTTTTCATATTTTTCCTTCCGATACTACCGTAAATTCTAACAATCTAGAACATTACACCTAAATGTCATATTAGTGAAATTATAATTATATAAAAACTGGATATTATGCCTCTGAAAATAGGGCGAACATTCTAATCTGAAGCATATTGATCAGTGGGTCCGGGTCAAACTACTAATGTTTCTTCTCTCTGTAACACTGAAGAAATCGAGTTCGAGTCTTTAAAAGGGTATGCAGCTTGATATTAGACCTCTGACTCAGTAATGCTATTATCTGACTTGAATTTATTGGGTAATGAATACAACTTCTAGTCAACCTACTTGGAGTTGAATAACCGAACGGTCTTTCAAGCGTTTATGGTAAATATAATAGTGTAACTTAATGTGATGCAGGTTTATTTACTAGTCTGTGAAACAAACTTGCATTAACGCTTATGACTACCTGATTGTCCAGGCTGAATTAGGTGGAGTAGAACTTGGGAACTACTGCTTGAAGGCGAGTTTCTAGGCATTTTTAGTAGGTGTAGTCAATAGTCTAATGCATGAACCTGCGTAAAGCTGCTGAAATAAGGTAATTTGTTTGACAAACATCAGTAGCCTAGATTATACTGGGATATCTCTGGTGTTACTGAAACGTCTTATTGTTAGTCGTTAGGTCGTTTCGGGAGGAGTAATGTTTTATGCTCATGAGGATGATACTTCAAACTTCGAATATTAAAAAACCCGTTCTGTTAAATTCGCAGTAATTGCCTAAGGTGTCTTGCATCTTTTGGAAACTATTTAAATGATGCCCAAGTCCAGCAGCATGTTCTAGGGACAATGATAATTTTTATTCTTCTGGTAATTGGTTGGCCCAGACACTACGGTCATCGTTGTTACTAATTCCATACTGAGAATTATTTACAAATTCTCGAAGTGGTTAGGTAAGACGAACAAACAAAATCAACGTAGAACCTCGCACAGAAATGTATCGGTTCAAGTTGCCACTGCTCTGGTACGCATTCACAGCCTCTGCCAGAGAAGTCGTATTCACTACCTTCACATGGCGGGTGTATTTTCACAGATGAGAGAGACCATAAACGAATATCCGGCGCTTATCACCAGATTGATGGATACTGAGGGTCCACCTAGGGGAGAGAACCCTGATTCCAAACTAATGGTACTCATAGGCTCCAGGTTCCAGATTGAACGAATGGTGTATGAACCTATTTTGGTCACCGGCAACCATAGGAATGCAGCTTCTGATGTCGCTCCACTGCTTTGTGGATGCTTTGGTGCTGTTTATGACACCACCCGTAAATAAGAAAATTTGCACTTGGTTAGTGCTTGCTGATGTGTTGTGACTGGTTGACTGAAGTTATAAAACTGCGATTCAGGTTTAAAATACCAAAAGTTATTAGCAAAAATCAAAGTCATTATAAACTACATCGTTTCTTTTCAGTTTCTTTTTAAAAATCAGTAAAGTCAATCAAACATAAAAAAATGAAGTTTTCTTTTATCTGTATTTTATTCTAATTTTGTTCGTCTATAATTGTTGTTAGTCATCATTGGCAGCAACATATCTGGCTGTTAGGAAGCAAAATACTGTGATGTTGAACCATGACTGTTTGTAAACGCCAAGTGATTTGCTGTCCCAGACACCACGATTGATAAATTAGTGAAAAGACAAGAACACCACCAAGACAATCAGTCGTAAACAAACTTAAAATGCATGTTACTTATAGCATTCGGGAGATAGTTAACTGGCCTATTTAATATTAACTGATTAGTTAAGTGAATATAATTATGGACAAAGGATAAGCAAGCAACATAATATACAGTAACACTACATGTCATGTAGTAGATTTTCTGAGAAATATTCATTTATCCCAATACTGACTTGTCTTTTTTCCGTATCTTTGCATTGTTGTATCTTTTTGTATGGCATCTCACCTAATATTTTCATGGTATCAAGCCTTAAAGTTTTAAAAATATCAATAAAAGCCAACGTAGTACAAGTTCATACACTAGAATATGAACAACACATCATTGTGCGAAGGCTTATGATACCAAGTGATTAGGCGAGCTGAAAAAGATTGATTGGGATCGGCTATTTTTCTATTCCATTATAAACTGAATAGTAATCAGTAAGCACCATGGTATTTGTTAAAAATAACTAATAAAAAAGTTTAGAGGTGGAACTAAAAGTTCTAAACAATAACATGAATGAAATAAAAGTTCATAATAATACTTTTTGGTAATTATTACAAAGACTACAGTGCATTTCAGTTTACTAATATTGAGGCGTTAAAAATTTTAAATATTTTTTCTAAAGCTTTGAATTTTAAAGCCGCTTTCAATAATGTGAGTCTACCGTTATCCTTCTAATCTTTAGATCCCTTTCCTGGATGTAAAATGATATCCGACTAAAATCAGTTTAGCTGAACTACATTATCAGGAGAAAAACTGTGTGTAAAACCAAATTTTGATTAGTTCTATTCCTGTTAACAAGATACCTAAGACCACTAGAACCATTCTTATTTAATCTTATAGTAGCTGTGCTTATGAAGGCTTTCCTTTTGTCATCTGACTCCATAGTGATTGACTTTTTCACAGAAGACCGTTTTAAACCTAGATTACATGATAACATAGTCCTGTTGGAGGTGTTGGCAAAATATGAAGCCCTTCAGACGGATGGAGTGGCAACTTGAAAATGTTTAGAATGGATTTTTTTCACCACTTAAATGTAAATTATGGCTCCAATACTTGTGTGGATTTGTATCCAGTCTAACAATAGCGAGTGAAGTGGTCGGGTACGTTGGGAAGTCAGACCAGGCTTAGTGGCTCAGTGACTGACAAAATCCCTGCACGGATAAGAAATGCCTGTGTTGCACTCGTCAACTTCCCATTTATGGCTCAGGCTTGATATCCGATTACTCATCAATGACCAAGCGTACTGCTCTGCAGTTCGTTCTGTTCTACTGCATGGCTGTTGAATATGGCTATTAAAAGTGGATGGCATAAGAAGGTTTTCTGGTGTTCGACCGCTGTTCCCTTCGTAGAGTTGACTATGTGTTGTAGTGCCACCATATCAGTAAAGTAGACGTCAGGTGTAGGGTTTTAGGTGGGTCGGTAGAGTCATTTGATGAGTCATCGACTCATGGCAAAGACATCTGTTACTCATGTCTAATCGCTGTCTGCTTCACTGTGGAGTCTTGGCTGAAGTAGGTTAAGGTTGGAAAATGGTCAGAGGTTGCCATACTGTTCATTTGAAGCATGTAAGGAAATATAGACTACTCGGTTGTGGTCTACGTGACAACAGAACCCGATCGTAGAAGACTGTGGGCGGTATGGATCAGAATCCATCTGAGTAATGCAGAGGCATCCACACCATTATCTTCATCTTAATTCTCATACCAAATCTCATTGTTGTTTCATTCCTCCATATCATCTTTTCACGACTTCCTACTACTTTTCATCAATTTCTCTTTTACTTCTGTACATCTCATCTTGGCACCTTCTCATTTAATTCGGTGTGTTATGGGGTGTAGCAACTTGGACCATTTTACGCAATACTACTAGGTTCCATACTAATACTGATATGACTTGATGAATTTATGTATAACTATAATTTTTGTGAAAATAGGTTTTATTTTGGAGTTTGTAAGGTAATAGAATAAAATGTTTTCAGCATACCTGATCATGAAATTTTGTGAAAGCTGCTAAAAATATTTAAGGAAGTTTGATAACGGATGCAACAAAACACTAACTCCGCTTCAATAGACAATACATGACAAGCTACACTATGTGTTGATTAAAAAGAAGCGGACTTTTAAACATAATAGTGCTAAGAAAACATTTATTTTTATTATTATTTATTGACATACTTGTTATTCTCCGTTGTTTTGTTGGATCAAATTGTTCCACCTCTATTGGCATATGGGCTCCAATGCAGATGCCTTGATATTGCCTGAATGTTGATTATGATAAATTGGTTGGTTGTGGCTAGCAGAAGAATCCAGGTCGCCCTTTTCGTCCTATTTGGGACCCGTCAGCTGGATGCACCTGCATTCCAGTGATGTTGTTCCCACTGGGACTCGAACTTCGTACTCATCATTTCAAACGCCAAGGCGTTATCCACTATGCTTGTTATTGAGAACTTGAGTAAAGAAGATAGATCCTCCGATATTAAGGTGATCCTCTATGTTGTGTTAGCTGTATGTTATATATCTTCAAAAAATATCTTATTTTCATATATGTTAGAGTTTTTGCTACTTAGTCACCGCCTGTTTATCTTACTCACTTTTAACAATTTCTCATATTTTAATTTTCTCTATCTATACAAGATTTGTTCTCCATTGGACTTTACCAAAAAGTTTAGCAGCTTACTATCAAGAGTCAGGAAGAGCTGGAAGAGATGGTTTACAAGCTTTTTGTCGGATTTATTACTTCAAAAAAGAACGTGATACTGTAGTGTTTCTAACAAATCAAGAATCAAATGTAAGCGAATAGTTAATTCAGTTATACTTATTGTTTTCAGAGTGGTTCTCAAAAGTCTCTTAATAATTTTCAATGTAGAAAGAGTGATGTTAATACAATGGTGAAATATGTTGAATCAGCTTCGTGAGTTCATTTGATCTGTATAATTTTTTCAATTATCTTATACCATTTTATTCAACTCACTTTGGTTTCCATAATGAGTTCAATCATTAGTTTATATAATAATAATAATAATAATAATAATAATAATAATAATAATAATAATAATAATAATGATATATTAACGGAACCACTTTGGAATAAAGAACTATTCGATAGATTCCTCGTTCTCGTTCATGATACACTAATGATATGGCATCACATAATTATATATATTTTTTTATTTTAACTGATTTAACTGGTTGACAGAATGTTCTGTATGTACTTTAAAGGTCAAAAGAATGTTCATTTTCTGGTTTTCAGTTTATTATGAACGCTATTTGAACATTAATCTCATTTCAAAAACCACAATCTTGTGTATCATTTTATTCACTTTTCACTTGTTTACTACTTAAGAGGTTTAGTTACATCAAATTCGATAAGAGTTTATTGTTTATTTATTGGAATGAGCCACGCTCATTGTATGAAAGATTATGATAGTTACTGGCTAACCGAATTTCAATCGATGAAGTAGAGTTTGAACCCGTTGAAAGTTAGCTGCCTAGATCAGTGAGCCACAGTTCTGATCATTGCTTAAATCTATGCACTTTATGACTACTGATGCCCAGCTGTGTAGGGAAGTATCGAGTGCCTAGTTAGTATCTATGAAAAAAAGTGATTTCAGTTACGTTTACTTATCGTCTACATGATAATGTCATCCATTTCTATTCTGGGTCACCAAATCAACACACAAATGAACTGTTGGACAAATAATCACTAAAAGGAGGGAAACTGGATCGGACATGCAAACCGTATTCCAGAATTAGCATGCACAAGGAGTAACAAGGAGTACAGTTGTATGCTTTAATTTCTAACAGAAACTATTGATATGCTTTAATCAGTAGTACATGATGCAAATCAACAGTTAAAAAAAAGTAGAACGTCGAAGGAGACTAAGCACTTCCAAGTAAAATACCAAAACGAACCAGTACAACTTTTACAGGAGGAGATGATGGTAACTTTCTCAAGCAGAAGTCGACATTTTAAGACATTCATCACTCAGGTAAAAGTTTCTGAACTTCGTTTCTAATTTATGCCTTTGTATGATCAGGATGATTTCAGTCGGCAGATTGGTGTTTCAGTCAATCAATGAGAATAAATTGTTCATTATTTCTCTTAACATCTGTTGTCTTTATGAAAATAGTAAAGATATGTGTAAGAGTAAGACTCGTAGAACTAGTAGTCCACAAATATCGTTTCCGTTCAACACTCACGCCTTACAGTCGTATACTGAGTTAGAGTGAACTGCAGTGCAGTAAACTTGTCCATTAATACATAATCGGATATCTCATCAGTATCAGAAATAGAGTAGGTTGGCATATACCAAACAGATCTTTTACATCCGAGCTGAGATTTCATCTGCGACCAGCATATTTTTGGGTTGATGGAACAAAGTGATACACGGCACCTGCTCATGAAGTCGTTGATTATTGAGTTGAGCCCTGTAGCATGATGTAGACAATCTAACTGGGGTACTCGAGGTGTTCAAAATCAATGGTTGAAGACTTTTGGTCACTTGTCTGGAAACCAGTCACAATGGTACAGATGAATATTCATTCTTTGATGTCTTCTAAAGCTTGGATGTTTTGACTAACCTTAATTTTTAAAATTCTCTGTCGTCTCATACACTTTTGTCTACTTTATTATCATTTTTGCAATCCACTTGTTTTTTGTATGGTGCTGTGTAGTGTATCAGCTTGAACTAAAGCACTCATGTGCAAGGTTCTGTGTTGATTTTACCTGCTTGTCTCTACATCTGATGTCCCTTCAGTATTCACAAACGTTCCACTCGTTAACTTGTCTATCTCATATATGACATTGAGTTGAGTGTGATAAAAATCATTATTCAGGCGAAGTTACTCGAAAGACTACCAATAAGACGTGCGTACCATGGATATGCAGTCCAACTTCAACAATACCTGTTATCACCAAATTGACGGAGTCACAATGAGTTCCCATTAGACATGCTTTCTGTCTAAATTACAAACAAATGTACTAAGTTTAGTATGTATGATGTATGGAACATCATGTACGCTTTCACTCATTCTTCCATCATGTTTATAGTGGAAATGGAATCGCATCAACGATACTATTTCTTCTTGTTCGACGTTGAATCTGTTTGCTGAAAGTCTATTCAAGATTGAAATCTAAGCAATTTTCACAACTGTAACTGATTGATTGGTGTGAGTAGATTCTGATTTTTTCCTTGTTCTAAAATCAAATGGTTTTGCTTACCTTATGTATCACATGAAGAACTAAACTGTCTCAGATGTGTTTATGTATGTTAAAATGAGGTGATTTGGGTTAATGATTTGTTGGTGTTATTGACAGACTATTGTCTTACATTACCTTCACCAGTTCACGGCATTATGTAAATCTTTAGATTTCACGATGAATGTGTCCTGGTTTATGTTAATAACTATCTTCAAATAAATTTGATTCAATGAAGATGTGAACCTTAATCGACCGAGGTGGCTTGGACATGTACTGCGGATACCGAGCCATCACCTTCTTCAACATACCATGCTAAGAAAGGTTGGATTAGGTTGAAAGTAGGCTGAGGATGACTAGACCAAGACGTAGTACCAGTGCATGAACTTCCTAACTGTTAGTGTGAAACTCATGAGGAGGTAAAAAGTATATCGTCGGGTTTACCTAAACGACAGGGATCAGTGGTTGAAAACTCTTGGTGACATTGGCGTAGTTGTATTGTACTTTGTGATTTCTTTTAATGCTTGAATATTTGCAATAACCTTTACCTTAAAATTGCTTCTCATTCCAAATACCCTTTTCCTTCTTTATTATTTGTCTTTTTCTATCCGCTTGTTCTTCGTATTCCGCTATGAAGTATATGAGTGTAGCAAGTTAAAGCGATTTACTTGTTTGCAAAGGTCTACGTTGATTTTATCTGTCTGTTTGTCTAATTTCCGTGGCGAAACTCAGATCTGATTATCATATGAAACTCTAGGATTTATTCTTTTCAAAAACCTAACTGGTTATTTCAATAGTTGTTTACAAAGCCTTTATTATTATAATTTGATGCTTGTAATTTCCCCGTTGTTATACTGGATGGAATTGATAAACCTCTGTTGGCATATGGGCCCCTATGCGGATGCCTCAATATTGCCTGAATATTTATTGTTAAAATCGACTTGGTTGTAGCTAGCAGAGCGATTTAGGACGCGCGTTTCGTTCTATTTAGGACTCATCGACTAATTCGACCCAGTGTAACATATCAAGTAATAATAATAATAATAACCGTTGTAAAAGAGGTGGCGACCATGCTTCATTGGTTATATAGATAACGCTTTGGTGCTTGAAACGATGAGTATGGGTTTCAAGTCCCAGTGGGAACAAGATCAGTCACTGGGGTCGAGGTACATTCAGCTGATGAGTCCTAAGTTGGACGATACATATGTCCTAGGTTCCTCTGATAGCCACTGGATAAATTATAACAATAACCGTGTGTTTTATACCTTCTTATTCTCCTCTTTTTTCAATAGTATTGATTGGGGTTTTCTTTGTCACTATATTTATTATTATATAATGAATTTTAGTTGTCGACATCAACAGTTTGCAAGTTATTTCAAGGATGAACCGCCTCCATGTGGGAATCGTTGTGATGTTTGTGCAAATGCATCACGTGTGTCTATGAATTTAGCGTTATTCCGTGCACTTGAGTTCAGTAAGTATACATATGTGTCTGTCTGATAGAATTCTCGTTTGCATTTAATAATATGTTTTATATCATATGTAGAACGATTTTTGAATATGATGGTGTAACCAACTAGTGTTTCGTCCATTGCTAAGACTAATCTTCAGAAACACCATCTTCATAATCTTTTACCATAGGACTATGAAATAAAGATACTTCAGGTTCGAATACTGAACAGGCGAGTTTTTGAACTACTCAACTCCGCTTCATTTAACTGTAATCGCGATTACTGTCACTATCGCTGATGATAATTAATCAATGAGTTTCAGATGTCAAAAACAAGATATTCAGCGAAGAGGATTCCTTTTCAACGAATTTATTCTGAAGCTGTACATTCCTATATACATATGTTACTTAAAGACAGTAATCCGTCATAAAGATATCAATTAAATAACAGGGGGTTGAAATAACGATAATGTTGCTAACTAATGATGTAAAGGTTGAATGATAACTTAAAGGGTTACGTAAAATTTTTAAATCATTTGTAAGATGCAGACAGATTACAAAGGGGTAAAAACATAGTAGAGTTAATAAGCAATCAAAGGATTAGGTCATATGAATGAGATAAGTTAAATGGAACACATTGAAAATGTTTTGACCGTAGTCGGATTCCAACCAGCGACCTGCAGGTTTCCGGTACGATGCTCTACCAACTGACCTACGAAGTCCGATTGCTGACCAGATTTCTATTTCATTTCAGTCACTAAGGGTTTTTTCCTGACTAATATGTGAATTCGTGACTCATTTCTACCGCTTGATCGTATTCACACTAGCTGCCTAGTTAAGATTTCTCATCCAAATCCAAATCTAACTGAATTATAGAGGGGTAACATCATATTGACTATCTGAGATAGCTGTGGTTGGGTAGACTAGTATTGATACTGGGTGATGATTGAAGGTGAAATAAAAATTTGGACTAAAACCGGATTCGAGCCAGCGACCATGGGACTTTGTAGCTCAGTTAATAGTAGTTAGTGGTCGCTGGTTCGAATCTGGTCGCGGTTCAAATTTTTTATTTCACCTTCAATCATCACCCAGTATCAATACTAGTCTACCCAACCACAGCTATCTCAGATAATCAAAATGAAAATATTTTGTTACAAGTTGCAATTATTAGGAGGATCAAAAAGGGACAAAGCACACGAAGATCAAAATAAGTTGAAGCCATGGTAGAGCCAATGACTGTACATATATCTTTTGTACACAAAGATCAGACTGTAGTTCATGGATAGCCAAGGCCTCTGGTGTTTTTAGCAACATCATTATTATAAACACCATTATTGTTATTTCAACCTCTTGTTATTTAAGTTAAATCTTCTTCACAGATTGTAGTCTTTAAATAGCATAACACATAAAAATTATGTACAAATGTGCAGCTTGAGATTAAATTTGTTGAAGAGTCGTCTTTGTTGAATTATCTAGTTTCAGAAGTTACAAGTCCTTTTTAAAAAAAATAATTTTGACGCTTTTTCTTCATGTCAAGAGAATCGTAAGTAATGATGTGTTCTAGTAAGCGAATTACACTGAGTAGTTGAAAAATAGTGGCCAGTTAATTAAAGATCATTACACAGTATTGTTTTATCAAGTCAAAAATGTAGTCTACTTCTTTTTTATCTATGTTAGTCTGTTTATATTTGAGTTGGCTAGGTTTCAGAACTTTAATCTTAGCAAATATTTTACTATAAAGATGCGTTGTTTATCGTTCTAGCTTATTGTAAGCTTCATCTACCATATGATATCTATCTAGAATTTAAGATATCTTCTGACTGTAACTCTAATTTTGGCTGAACATCTAAATACACAACTAAATCTGAGTTAATCTTATCACCTTTTTTTTCCTCATCTATTTGTAGCTACGAAAATTGGTTGTGAAAATACTGAAGACAATAATGAAAATTACAATGATAACAATTTTGTAGATAATGAAGATAATGGTTCAGAGAATTTTTCTGAACGTGAAAAGTATGATCGAGAAGAAAGACAGAGATTAATAGCAAGTGAATTCGATAAACGTCGTCGTAATTCAGAGAAATCTGTACAAGTTAGTCGCATTATTTTATTATGATTCTTTTTTTTACTGTTATCACCGTTGTCTTTTTATTGTTTCTCTCCAGTTTTTTTTAAAAACGAGTGAAAGTAGCCTTTCATGTTGATCACTTAGCTTACTAAATTTTGTTGTAGGATTGTTATTTTGGTCAAAAAAACTATGGGTTGAAATTTATCATAGACTGACATCAGTCAGAGGAACATTGAAAACCTGGGAGCACTGGATAGCTGTTTCGTCCCCGTATGGGACTCATCAGCAGTGCACACCCAGGACTAGGCCACGAAACCTGAAGGTCCTGGGTCGTATCCCTGGCGGGTTTGTGAATGCGCATTGCTAAGGGGTGTCGTACTACTACGTAACAGCTGTCCAGTGCTCCCAGAAATTGATCAGAGCTATTAAATGTTATCTGCAAAGAAGTACAGATTTAAGGTGGCCAGCGTAGACAACTTGCCCTAATCAAATTTTCATAGATGCATTACTTCATTACTGGATTCATTTGACCAATTTATTAAACTAGATGGAATATTCAGTACATCATCGGTACATAAATTAAATGCCTTTTTTTTGCAACTAGACAAAGATAAATTAAAATCGATATGAAGGATAAAATTACTAGAATTTTAAAGTGTTTTCCAGATAAAGCAACTGATTAATTAAAGATAAGGAATCACTAGCCTATCCTATCACAAAATTCAGCTGACGAACTGACAAAGTTAGAGGATCATTGAAAACCTGAACACACTGTACGGCTGTTATCAGTTCATCATGAATACTACGTTGATATAAATGAAACCCGCATAAACATCATACTATATTACTGTATAGTGATCATAAGTGACATGCTTTGAGATAGAAATCCCGAAGTTCTATTGAGAAGGTATGATCTATCAGGTTAACAAGTTGGAAATAAAGTGAATGCTAACTGAAAAATTTAGGGGATAATCCTGTTAGACTGTGTAAATTGATCTAGTGACTGAATGGTTAATGTGTTCACTGTGAGATCTAAATGTTCTCAGTTCGATCCCTGGTGGGTTCGTGGGTGTATTCTACTGAGAAGTTTCATGCTAGGATGAAACAGCTGTCCATTTCTACCAGATTTTCAGTGGTTCTACAGCTGAAACCATTCCATGATGACTACTCCCCTGAAATAAATAACATCTCAATAAACATCAAACTACATTATATATATATATATATATATATATATATATATATATATATATATATATATATATATATATATATGCTTGCATAGGAATAGTAATTGCAATTGGTAGATTGTATTCACCCCAACCAGTCTTTTATATTCACTTTCTAGAAGTTAAGTTAAAAGATCTAATGGTTGACGAGATTTTAATTTTACTCCACTCACCAATCGTTTTGTGAAATTGTCATGTGACTATTTGTTTTACATCTTACACACACAGACCAAGGAACATGGTAGTCACTCAACCAAACCTTATCGTTCTTGTCCGGGTACTAAAGTCCACCAAGTATCATCATCAAGATCAATATAGGATCAGGCATTACTACATAACGGTCCAAGTTGCCACACCTCATCGGTACACTGAGTAACAAGGTTAAAAAATGGAGGATGAAGAAGGAAAGAAAATTTGGTCAAAAAGTAGAAAGATAAGCAAGAGGAATGAGAAAATGATGAGACTAAGTATAGTGGTTAAGATGAGGATAGTGTATGGATACATCTACACCAATGTCATTGGTTCTGAACCATATCACCCTAGAATACCCACCAGCTTAGTCTGTTCTGGATACTCTAACAAGCCAGTGAGTAGTTTTTTTCCTTATTCAGTCAGTTTCAGCGCATTGAAATGGCACAAGTGATGAATATCTTAAAATTAGATGTGCTTGAAAAAGTTGGATACAACCTGTGTATTCTCCTGGGTTTTAGGTTTGATGAGAATTGGTGTTGTAAACGTGGTATTTAACTTGTAGATTGGTGATGGATCTAAATTTTTAATAATGGGTAGTAACTCACAGTAGGATCCAGGATGCGCGTTTCATGCCTTCTGTAACTCGTCAGGTAGATGTACCTACCTCCCATTGAGTGATGTTGTTCCCACTAAGATTTGAACTCAGGGGAAATGGCTTCAAAAGCCAGAGCGCTGTCCGTTAGGCCGCTGAGTTGAGATATCCATTCCTTGTGTAATGGATATAGTATAATTTAGATGTTATGGTGTGTAATTTCCCGACGTTGTTAGTAGGAACAACATCACATGAGTCCCAAACAGAAAGAAACATACCTCCTGGATTCCAGTACTCGCTCCACTATCCATCATTAATATGAAACGAAAAATACCACCTTTATTGAGACACTCGCATAGGAGGCCATATGTCAATAGTAACTGATCAGTCCCATCGAATCAGCGATGGGAAAGTTACACCTCTCGTCACCTAATTACAAAGACGTTGACCGGATCACAGGTGAATTTTCCTTAGATCTAGAATATGCAGATGACATAGTCCTGTTAGGTGAAGACGCTGACAAGATGCAGAGTCTTCTGAACACTTTGAGTGGGATGGTTAAGATGAGGATAGTGTATGGATACATCTACACCAATGTCATTGGTTCTGAACCATATCACCCTAGAATACCCACCAGCTTAGTCTGTTCTGGATACTCTAACAAGCCAGTGAGTAGTTTTTTTCCTTATTCAGTCAGTTTCAGCGCATTGAAATGGCACAAGTGATGAATATCTTAAAATTAGATGTGCTTGAAAAAGTTGGATACAACCTGTGTATTCTCCTGGGTTTTAGGTTTGATGAGAATTGGTGTTGTAAACGTGGTATTTAACTTGTAGATTGGTGATGGATCTAAATTTTTAATAATGGGTAGTAACTCACAGTAGGATCCAGGATGCGCGTTTCATGCCTTCTGTAACTCGTCAGGTAGATGTACCTACCTCCCATTGAGTGATGTTGTTCCCACTAAGATTTGAACTCAGGGGAAATGGCTTCAAAAGCCAGAGCGCTGTCCGTTAGGCCGCTGAGTTGAGATATCCATTCCTTGTGTAATGGATATAGTATAATTTAGATGTTATGGTGTGTAATTTCCCGACGTTGTTAGTAGGAACAACATCACATGAGTCCCAAACAGAAAGAAACATACCTCCTGGATTCCAGTACTCGCTCCACTATCCATCATTAATATGAAACGAAAAATACCACCTTTATTGAGACACTCGCATAGGAGGCCATATGTCAATAGTAACTGATCAGTCCCATCGAATCAGCGATGGGAAAGTTACACCTCTCGTCACCTAATTACAAAGACGTTGACCGGATCACAGGTGAATTTTCCTTAGATCTAGAATATGCAGATGACATAGTCCTGTTAGGTGAAGACGCTGACAAGATGCAGAGTCTTCTGAACACTTTGAGTGGGAATTTGAGAATGTTTGGGATGCGATTTTCACCACCCAAATGCAAATTTTTGCTCCAGGACTGGTCTTCAGCGGTACCGCGGTTAACAATAGAGAGTGAAGTGGTTGAGTGTGTTGACCACTTCACTTACCTGGGAAGTAGGATCAACTCCGGTGGGTTAGTTGCCGATGAGATTTCGGCACGGATGCAAAAGGCTCGATTGGCTTTTGCCAATTTGCGCCACCTATGGCGCCGCCGTGATATTCGTTTGTCTATTAAGGGTCGCGTGTACTGCACAGCAGTCCGCTCTGTTCTACTGTATGGCTCTGAAACATGGCCATTGAAAGTGGAAGACATGAGAAGGTTACAGGTATTTGACCACCGTTGCCTTCGTAGTATAGGACGTATTCCGTGGTGTCACCATGTGAGTAATGCAGAAGTTAGGTGTAGAGTTTTAGGGAGAAGAGGTAAGTCAGTCGACGAGGTTGTGAACCTTCATCGACTGAGATGGTTGGGACACGTACTACGTATGCCTAGTCACCGATTGCCTCGTCACACAATGTTGGCTGAGGTGGGTTCAGGCTGGAAAAAGGCCCGAGGTGGCCAGACTAAAACATGGCACCAATGTATGAAGTCTCTGACTGTTGGTTTAAGCCATGTAGGACGATGCAGACTAGGTGGTTGGGGTCCACGGGACAAGAGGAACCAGTGGTTGGAGACCCTAGGTGATATGGCTCAGAACCGAAGTCAGTGGCGCAGATGTATACACACATTATCCTCATCTTAACAACGCTATACCGAATCTCACTATTTTGTCACTCCTCTTTCCTTTCTTCTCATACTTTATATTTCTTTTGACTGCATTCACTTATCTTCATCCTTCACCTCACTACCTTTTTACTTGATGTGCTGATATGAGGTGTGGCAACTCGGACCGTTACGCATTAATGCCTGGTCCTATGTTGATAATGATGATGATGATGATGATGATGGGAAAGTTACAAGCCGTAATATTTAAATCTCGGCGACCTAAGTCTTTCAAAGAACTGGCATGGAATCATGCCCGGTCCACCCCAAGCAAATTATTAAGCCACATCACCCTGGAGACACTAAAGCATGCGCTCGATTCAAAACTACTACCCAAACAGACTGGATTCAGCAACTATAAATCATGTGCGGACCAAATTACAACGCTACGCTACGCATCATCATTCAACAGAGAATAGAATGGCAGTCAACTCAACTCTACCTCAACTTCATCGACTTTGAAAAGACTTTTCACAGCGTCGACCGACAAGTAATTGGCAACTGCCTCAACACTATGGAGTACCACAAACTTTTATCAACCTCATTCAACAGCTAACTATATGAAGACGACACATGCCAAGTAATTCACAATGGAAAGCTCAGCTCAGTGATGCTTTTGAAGTGAAGTGGAGACAGTAGTGAAACAAGGCTGTCTACTATCACGGATGATCACCCTGATTGTGGTGGACTGAATCATGCAACAAACAGTGAGGAGCGAAAACAGGGGGATACGACGGACCGCGGAAAAAAACCTAGAAGACTTGGATTTCACCGATGACTTGTGTCCAATGTCACACAAACTTGGAGATCTACAAGCAAAAACTAACAAGTTGACAGAAGAGGCTGGGCACCAAAGGAAGACGGGACTTCAAGTGAACGTAGAGAAGACAGAGGTGATGAAGATACCCAACCAATGCCACCAACAACAAGCTCCAATCACCATCAACGGGGGAACCTAAAGGAAGTAAATTCTTTCACCTATCTAGGAAGCACTGTTTCAACTACAGGCGGTGGCGGTACAGACGAGGATGTCAAAACCGGGATCGGAAATGCAAGACAGGCTTTCATTAATCTGAAATCAGTGTGGAGATCTACTGCACTCCACTCAGCATAAAGCGTGAACAACATCCGGATTTTCAACACCAATCCAGTCAAGTCAGTGCTGCTATATAGTTCAGAAACTTGGTGCGTCACCAAAAGCACTTGCAACAAACTATGGATATTGATCAACAGCTGCCTACGCTGGCTCGTTACTGAAGCTCAGATGGCGAGAACAATAAGAATAAGCAACAAGGAACTCTGGCTGACTGGCAACGAACCAACCGAGAACCTATCACTCAACAAATATGCAGAAGGAAGTGGAGGTAGACTGGAGATGCACTGAGAAGGCCGACTGGAGACATCACGCGCCAGGCCAGGCCAGGTCGTCGAGTGGAACCCAGATGGTAAACGGCTAGTTGGGCGTCCGAGGTGAGGGTGACATGGAGAAGATGGTATGAAGAAGAAATGAGGGCTTCTGGGCAGTGGTGGAGCCAGGTTCAAAAGATTGCAGAGAACAGAGTGCAATGAAGGCGTGCTACTGAAACCCTATGTTCCATTGGGAACCCAAGGAAAAGAAATAATATTTAAATCTGAATTGACTTCAATTATGCTGTTTTTTGTAGATATAAGAAATTGATATGTGTACAAAAAGCTGTTTGATGCAATGTTCAGCATTTAAATAAGAAAACACAGATAAAAGCAACTTAGAACTTGGCACAGATGTATGTTTACTTGTTACACTTTACAACAGTACATTTCAATGAATTTAATACGGAAAAAATGAAGAAATGGAGTGAAAGTACTATCTATTAGTAAGTAGACTGAAGTTACAGTCTAATAAGTAATGGAATGTTTAAATTATTTAGACTATGGAACTTTTGAGGAGGATATATAAGTTTTTCAGAGTTCTATACAGCTTCAAATCTGTAACCATTTATTAGTATTTTACAGACCTGAGTCATGAAGCCTGCAATCGACCAATTGTTTAGAAATTTTTTGCATTCATGCTGGTCATGCGGAGATTTTGTCTATTCCGCCTTTTGTTTTTAACTTCAGCTAGAATTGAGCATTAGTAGATGTTAGTTAGTTGGAGGCAATCAGCAGAAAGCCCTGGGTCACCTAGGTTTCGTGCTTGTCAGTACTCGTCAGTAAGATGTATCTGCGCAATCTCGACGGAATTGATGTCCCAACTGAGATTGGAACCTGCGTGTTGTAGTCACCAACTTTGCTGTAGTGTTTTTGGCAGATATTTAGTCAGTAAAGATGAGGTGACTTCACTTGATTAAGTGACATTATCATAAATTATCACTTTTTTATAGTTGAGATAAAGCACTACGCCTCAAACTGTTATGCGTCATCTGTGTGACTCTACTCTCCATCTCATATACGATCTAAAGTGAACCGGATTTGTTCAGAGTTCTGATTAATGTTACTGGTTGTTTCTGTTGTTACCACCTTTCATTTAGGGATTGTGAATTGTGCATGTAAAAGGGAAAATATTGCTGGAAAACAGTTGAAGATGATGGTTAACTTTAAAATTGTCTGTTCTGTGCCATCTTGCCTTCTACCACCTTTAATATCATTCTATCGATTGACTACTGACAAACAGTATTACCGAATTCACCTCTGACAGAAGTATTAAGGTTATGTTCTATACATATTCAGTCTATGCCTTACAAAGATCTATTCAAAGTTGATTTTACTTGACAAGTTGATACTTATCACTTCTGGAATTAAGCCTGTCAGGGATAGATAAGCGAAAAACTTTAATCCTACTATAAAACTAATACTGGGACTGAGGTTAGTCAGTTAAAAGTTTAATAGGAATTCCTCTCCACTTAAGATTTACTGCAGCTGTCTAAGTGTAGTGATAAATAGAACCTATTACATTGTAGTTTATAAGGTGACTAGCAATGGAGTCTAGGACGTTTATTTCGTCCTTTTTAGGTCATCTCAGCAGCATGAAATTCCAAGTATCAATAAACAAGAACCTCTTACTGTAGTTGGATCTTATTTCTTTAGACTACTATTATTCAATCAGTGGGTTACAAATTCTAGCGGAGTTCTATTCACCAAGAACTGAACACTAAGATGATATTATTAGCTTTCATAAACACAGTACATATGGCTTATAATGTGTATATAGTCTGCTATTGATGATTAAGTCACTAATCCTTATCTGTATTCGTCATATATTTAATGTTTCAATGTTCAGATTTAGACATTCAATCACCTTATTGCAGATTACTGGTCGACTGTTATAGTTTTCTTCAAAGACTAGGGAGATGAGTATTAAAAAGCATGAAGTCGAATTAACACGGAACAATTTATCTATTGTCTTTAGAACCAACCACATACAGATTTGTTGTCAGGTGATAAAAGACTAGTGATTCTGCTACCTGATTGACCGAATCATGGTAAATGAGATGGGATATGAGCCAACAACTCACTGCTTCAATGCCAACTGCCTAAACCAATAAGCCATATATCTATCTTCAGCTTACTTTGAGGAAATAGTAGTTACTAATTACGGAAGTCAACTATTCATTTATGTATAATAAGTTATTCTATGAGTGCTAATTTTAGCTTGAATATGTCATATATTTAAAGAATAGTGAGGTATGTCTTTCATTCGTGTAGGTAGTCGAATTTCAAGCAGTTTGTTACACTCTACTCAAACTACTTCGCCTCATGCAACTGAGTAGTATTGTGAAGTATCGTGGATTAAATACAGCCTTTAACTGAGTACTTAGTCCTTAAATAATGTCGCTTAATTGCATTGTTATGTGTTGAATAATAGATGGGAGCTAGGGACTACATTCAACTGTTTCTTTTAATTCTGGAACTCTAAGGTTAGTAAATATGAATGTGGGTCCAAGTTATTACACCCCATGTTAGTACATCGAGAGGAAGTCCACTTTTTGCTAAGCGGTTCAAACTACCAGTTAGAGACTTCATAGAACGATGCTGTGTTTTAGTCGGACCACCTTCACTCTAATTTCAACCCAAGTGCACTTTAGCAGGAGTTGTACGACGGTGTAGACAGTGACTAAGTGGGCATACCAAGTATCCTATCCACCTTATTACATTAAGGTTTACAACCTCATCAACTGACCTACCTCTTTAACCTAAAGCTCTATACCTGAATTTCATATTACTGACATAGTGACACCATGACATCCCAAGGTAATGGTGGTGGTTGGACATCTGAAGCCTTCTCATTTCCTTTACCTTTAATGCCCATGTTTCGCAGACAGAGTAGAGAAGAGCGAACTGCAGCGCAGTACACTCGATCCCTAATACACAAGTGGAAATCATGTCGTCGTCTCAGATGCTATCAGTTGGCAAAACCCAGTGGAACCTTTTGTATTTCGTCCACTGCCGACGTATCAGAGCTTATCCGACTTTCCAGGCAAGTGAAGTAGTCAACGCAATCAACCATTTCACTCCAATTTATTGAATAGGGCACTGCTGATGAAGGGTTATGCAGCAGCAATTCACATTTGGGTGGGGAGAAATGCCTCCTAAAGCATACTGAAATCACTAGTCAAGGTGTCCAGAAGACTTTGCATCTTGTCAGTGGCTTCAACTAAAAGGACTATGTCATCTGTGTATTATAAGTCTGCTAAGGATTCTTGTGTGATAAGAACAATCCCTGTAAAGTCAGACGACTAGAGAGAGAGAAACCTCAGTAAGGACGTGTATGGTCAAGTTGAATAGGAATACATAGAGTGAGGATCGTTGACAGACACCATTCGATGTACACAACTGGTCTGGCAATTCACCATAGGCTCTAACACTCCGACAATATGCTTATTAATATGCATACACTTTTAAAATTTGTTTATTTGTATAGTTATCTAACTCTTTGAAGGTTAAAGTTACCTTTATAGTCATAATATGTCATATTACCTTGGTATTTGATCCATATTAATTTATGTTTAAATTTAGTCTTCATGGATTCCAGCACCCGATACAACAGATGTCTTAAGTCCAGATAATCGTAATGTTACCGGTATCACTGGACGTTGTCGTGATCAAACTCTTCAATTGTTAGTCAGTGCAATGAAAAAGTTGTTCCCAGAACATGAAGCATTGTTGAATAAGTTATGCGCAGATGCAGAGTATGCATTATTCAAGGAGTCGAAAGTAGGTTTCTTTTTATCCATTTAATGCATATATACATGGTATTTATTTGGAGCTGAGTGGTTGACATAACGTTGTTGGTGACTGATATTTCATACTAGTTTTCACAATCATCTTCAGTAGAAATTCACAAGGAATAAAGAAAAGCGAAGAGATTTATTTCCTTCGACGATGTCATTGTACGAAATTGTACAATCGTATTTATACATTATTATTATTTGTCCCTTGGGTTCCCAATGGAACATAGGGTTTCAGTAGCACGCCTTCATTGCACTCTGTTCTCTGCAATCTTTTGAACCTGGCTCCACCACTGCCCAGAAGCCCTCATTTCTTCTTCATACCATCTTCTCCATGTCACCCTCACCTCGGACGCCCAACTAGCCGTTTACCATCTGGGTTCCACTCGACGACCTGGCCTGGCCTGGCGCGTGATGTCTCCAGTCGGCCTTCTCAGTGCATCTCCAGTCTACCTCCACTTCCTTCTGCATATTTGTTGAGTGATAGGTTCTCGGTTGGTTCGTTGCCAGTCAGCCAGAGTTCCTTGTTGCTTATTCTTATTGTTCTCGCCATCTGAGCTTCAGTAACGAGCCAGCGTAGGCAGCTGTTGATCAATATCCATAGTTTGTTGCAAGTGCTTTTGGTGACGCACCAAGTTTCTGAACTATATAGCAGCACTGACTTGACTGGATTGGTGTTGAAAATCCGGATGTTGTTCACGCTTTATGCTGAGTGGAGTGCAGTAGATCTCCACACTGATTTCAGATTAATGAAAGCCTGTCTTGCATTTCCGATCCCGGTTTTGACATCCTCGTCTGTACCGCCACCGCCTGTAGTTGAAACAGTGCTTCCTAGATAGGTGAAAGAATTTACTTCCTTTAGGTTCCCCCGTTGATGGTGATTGGAGCTTGTTGTTGGTGGCATTGGTTGGGTATCTTCATCACCTCTGTCTTCTCTACGTTCACTTGAAGTCCCGTCTTCCTTTGGTGCCCAGCCTCTTCTGTCAACTTGTTAGTTTTTGCTTGTAGATCTCCAAGTTTGTGTGACATTGGACACAAGTCATCGGTGAAATCCAAGTCTTCTAGGTTTTTTTCCGCGGTCCGTCGTATCCCCCTGTTTTCTCTCCTCACTGTTTGTTGCATGATCCAGTTCACTACAATCAGGAATATGATGGGTGATTATACATACATTATAAACATGTAATCATATATAGGTGAAAAGTGAAACGTTGATTGGAAAGGAGTTACGTAATAATCGGTTATATTAACGGTAAATGGTGCACATTTTGTAAATGTATCTTTGAGCCGTATCTCTACCCCAATTGTTTTACGGAGAATGTAAATCAATTAACAGTTCAATTCTTGAACATTAGATCAACTCTGGACAGTGTCAAAGGGAACATTTCAAAAGGAGTACGCTTTCAAAAGTTGTACACCACAGAAGCACAGTCAATTCATCAATTTAAGGCTAATCTTCACGTATTGAAGAAGTATTTTCAATCTCTTATTTTATCATGGTCTTAATACTTCTACATTTTTTCTATTCCTTTTGCTGTTTACTTATAATTAGTTAGTTAACTGTTATCACATGCCTTGTTTCTTTCTTAACCTTATTGATATCTAACAAGTGGACACCCAATCAATCATCACATTTCACGTCTATCAACAATATCCACATCTAGTATTATTGCTTGTATTATACCGTCTTTGATTGGACCGAATTAATCGGTTTCTATTAGTATATGGGCTCGTGTGTGGATGCCTCGATATTACCTGTGTTTTAATTATAGTAATGATGGATAGTGGTTAGCAGGAGAATCCAGGATGCACATTTCGTCCTATTTGGAACTTGTTAGCTAAATGCACCTGCTGGCTCCCAGTGAGTGATGTTGTTCCCACCGGGATTCGGACTCATGAGCGATCACTTCAAACGCCAGAGCGTTGTTCACTACAACACAGTCACGGCAGCCACTTTTTATCCGACGGGTATAGTTTTTAGTATTAATGCTTGTATTATATCGTTTTTGATTGGACCGAATTGTTATTCACCTCTTCAAACTTCTTGCCTTCCTCGTTATTTACATCGTCTAATAAATTATTATCCAACTATATCTTATTGCTGAATAATAAGTTATTATATGTTACTGGTGTATATATGAATACGATTGTATAGCTTTATACAACGACGTCATCGGAGAAGGAAATTCTATTCCCTGAATTCTCTTCTTTTCTTCTCAAGAAATGAATAATCTTTACTTCATTTAGTTCTGTCTGATCAATTGGATCTTGTTTATATATTATGATTATCTATAACTCATCCATAAGTTTTAGAATTGGATTCTACCTGCTAAACTAATGAATTCGATTTCTTCAGTGTTAAGCTACTTGATTGGGTTTATGAGATTGACTTTCAACTAACTGGGTTACGGGTTCCAGCACCGCTCCATCTACCTAGATTTAGCCAGTCAGGTAGTATTATTAGCCTTCATGCGATAGGTGTAGCTCACTGCCTATTCCACAAATGTGCCTAAGGTTGCTGATTGGATTTTGGTTCGTTCATTTCCCGTATTCATTATAGACTAGATCAACCTTAATTGAATATATTTTTTTTGTTTGCCTTTCGTTATTTTTCTTCAATCTAATATCTATAAAATATATGGTAATGATTAAAGATGAAATGAAAATCTGTGTCACGGCAGGATTCGAACCAGCAGCCTTCAGTTTACTGTCGCCAAACTCCATCGGCTAAGCTTCGAAACTGAACTAAGTTAAATAAATGGATGAATTTAGACTACAGGGTGAAAATCCTTGGTGATTGAAATAAAGGTAAGGCTTGGTTAACAGAAGAGTCTTATAGGTTAATCAGCAGAATACTATGCCGGTAATTCGGAGCCTACTGGATTTAATCCTGCTACAGCATAACTTTCCATTTCATCTGTCATTATCAATCTGTATCATGAATAGCAGTTTGTTCAACTGTGAGTTTCTCTGATAGTCTCATAAATATAAATTTAAGAGGTTGATAAGAATGACGGCCAGCACTTAAATTACAGGGATAGGCTTAGTGACTTTATTTGAGTGACCCTGTATGACCTATAATCTTAAACCACTTTTCGGTACTGTTTTTAAACAATAATATTGAACCTCACAACTTTAGTTTATTCACTAGGATTTTCTAAGGGGGGGGAGGGTAACGTTGTTTTACAGACTAGTGATAGTAATAGTAATTGAAATGGAATACCTTCCGTCGTTGCAGAATTCGTACTGCTGACTTTGTTTTCTATTGAGATACGACTGGCAAATTTCGATCTTGGTAATTGATTAAAGTTATAAGGAAACCTGTTTCGCGTCATATATTTAGTCAATGATTTTTTACTTGTTCTATCAGAAACATTCATTGTCACTGTTTTCTATCTAATAGGATAGTAAAATAGTATAGCAGTTCTGTTTGTGTCTCAAATGTCTGTAGAGTATACAGTTACATTTCTGCAATGATGTTTCAATGCAATAAAAAGAAGACAGGTTGATTGAAGCTAGCTAAAATGTTCCTCATCATAGAATTTTTTGTTAAAAGAATACTGTTATCTCTAGATGGTTTTAAGTGAATATACTCAAACCAAAAAAGTTACACACACACACACACACACACACACTGGGCTTTATATGCACTGATCGACTGGCTAATGAACTGGACGTTTATTGTTATTATCATCATTACCAGTGTGATTAGTACTAGTTAGTGTATAGGAATCAAAAAAAAAAGTTATGTCATACTGATCTAGATTGCTGATTGTTCCAGTTTCTAAGGAAAGAAACGAATCATTCTATGACAGCTATCGAAGAGTCAGGTTGTGAGATTCATAATCTATGAAATATACTCATCAGGATATGAAAGAAGAACAAGTATATTTCAGCGAAGAGTCTTTTTTGCGGCGATTTCCTTTTCAAAGCTGTACAACAGCAAATTTATACATTTTTCTACTGTAAGGATTTGATTATCAAAAATGGTTTGTCAAGCATGGCAACACAGTTCAGGTTTCTCTATGTGGATGGCAAGATCTTCAGTGATGCAGAAAATACTAAGATATACACCCTTTGGAAGTTTTTTTCACTTTATAGATGACTTTGAATGAGGAGGTTCTTGTGGCAGGGGGATTCGTGTTCATGATGTATTAGGTGTGTGCTTGACAAACCGTTTTTAACTATCAAATCCTTACACTAGAAAAATATATAAATTTGAGATTGTACAGCTTAAAAATGAAATCACCGAAAAGAGACTCTTCACTGAAATACTTCTTTTTCTTTCAAATCCATCGTCATCTAACACCTAACTGGTGCTCAAGAACAATTAATGCAAGAGAGTCATGAACATCTTAGGTGTGAATGAGGATGCATACGTCTGACTTTCCCCTTTGAATGGATTTCGAGGCATATGTATAGTTTCCAACACACGGCACTTGTTACATCTCGCACTTGTCAAATATAAAACGATACTTTGGGATCGGTCTTCACCGACAACTATTTTAAGGATCGAAAACAAAATGGTGAAATATGATAACAACTTCGTTTACCTAAAAGTTTGTATTCACCCTAGGGACGAAATGTCAACTGTAATTCCAAGAGCTCTTTCAGAATTTGCTAACTTACATCACTCAAGGCGTTGGCGAGATATCCGACTACTTATTGAAGAATCAGCAGATTCATCGGCAGTTCACTCTGTCGTATTTTACGGTTCATTTATGGCCGTTGGAAGTAGAAGGTATTATTGTTGTCCCTCTTTTCTTGTTAGGAAATTTTCAAAATGTAACTAATCATTCACTGGATTATGTCATGTTGTTGCTACGACCGGTAGTACGACCTAACAGTCTACGACACAAATCGACTCTAACGCAAATCAGAAAGTCAACCACCACCACCGACACGCAAAGATAAGAAGAGAAGACAGACCATTGACAGATCTATTCACTGTCTCAACAACAGTCAGTAGAGTTGATAGTGATGCTGAAT